ACCTGTACCATATGTACTTAAATAGTTTCTTAATTTACCTAATCAGCCTATCAACCCATAGCAGCATATTTTTTTAAGGGTTGGGATGGCTCTCATTTTCAAAGTAATATTTTACCTATTAAACAATGGATGTGCGTTCAGGAGCACCATGTTTTTTGAATAGTGGCCTTCTGATCCTTCTGCATTGCGTGCAGACAATGAAGTACGAAAACAATGATCAAAAGCAAACTAGGAAATGAAAGGGAAATGTAGAAGTGTATGAAGGAACAAAACACAATGTTCCTTTGTCATTATATAATTATCACTCTTGCCGACCACTTCCAACTGGACTAGTGTCAGCCAGCAAACCATGCCTGAGCACAGAAAAATGCACAATAAGACCCTGTGGCACAATATCCTTTTGTTCTTTCCATACATTACTTTTACTTTTATACTTTAATTAGTTTTGAAAACAGTACTTTTGAGAGGGGTCCGAATGCATTATTGGTGCAACCAGGGCCGGCCCAAGCCTTCAGGGGGCCCTAAGCAGGATTTTATTTGGGGCACCCTTGGTGCAAACAATATGACAAATTATCATCAATCTTTGATAATTCGCACACTATAAATTTAAAACACACATTATCGATTTTATTTGCTGTAGCTGTGTTGCTTACATCATAAAATATATGTTTTAAGACAATTCTAAATATTATTCTGCACAAACAATTTCCTATTGATCCAACTTTTTAGATGACTACTTGCCACAAATCTAAATAATTAGACACAAAACATTAATATGGGCTGGCAGAAACAAAAGCAGCTGGAAGTAGCCAATAACATACTGATTTTTATTATTATTCAAGACGCTGCCAAACAGTCAAACATAGTGACAATAAAGATACATTTTTTTAATTGGATACAAATGTTAACACTGAAAAAAATTCATATTGTATTTTGTAGTTCAAATAACTTAAAACATCTATTTAAATTAAAATCAAACTAAATCAGGAATCATTTTCTAGACATACTCGCATATCAATCAAATGAGTAAATATGTACAAAAATTGTTCAGTTTTCAGAAATAATTACAAATTAAGTGATTTTTTTGTAAAACAAATTAATCTGCCAATGAGATGAGTAAAATAATCTTATTTAAAACCTAAAACAATATTTTTATTTACCCTAAATGGCAGATTATTGAACTTTCTTTAATGAAAAATTCACATTATTTTGACTAAAAATCCTTCTAGAAAATGCTTATTGGTTTAAGAATTTTTAGATATTTGGACTAAAAATCACACAAAAACTATACGAAAGAAAATCTCTTTTGCAGTGTTTTTACCAACTGTTAATTGTATAGATCAGAAGCTTATTTTTTTTTTAATCGCCACGTTCATTAAAAAAGCATTTTGCTGCTGTTCTGTGCACTGCTGCTTCAATCACGATATCAATGATTCTGCGATATATTGATAGATCACAAGAAAACCAGCCACAATATATCACAATTTTGGTAAATGAAGGGGGAAAATGCATCAAAAATTTATGATGAATTTCTTTTATAAACACGCATTTATAGAATTGCAACAATGTAAAACAAGTGCACATCTGTCAAACAAGCTTAAAAATGCTGATGTGCAGAGAGGAGTTTGTGACTGAGGAGAGCACATCTCTATCACAGCAGCAAAATCTCAATTTAGTGGAATATGCATTTAAGAAAAAAACTGCCAAAATAGCATTTTATTGCTTTCTAATTTTCTGTAAACTTAAAACACTTATTACAACTTGACCAACTAATTTTATGTAAAATGGAACATTTTATGCTTAGACCTGGTTTATTTTTAATAAAAAAATATATATCCCCACTATTTTTTCAACTGATCAGAATGCTCTGAGAGGTGAGCACAGACTCCTTTGAGCACGTATGTTTTCAGCAGTGGAGAACATTAGTTATTTACTCATCTATTTAAGTTTTTTAATTGCCATAATATTTTTTTGCCAAAATACCATCTACAAGATTTTGACAACTTCTGTAAGAGTCAAATAAACGCAAGGCCCTTCTAATTAAATGTTCATGTCCTATTAATATCTTTATATATTTTGGCGGAGTTAAAAAGTTTGAGCACAAGTTGCGCGAGCGATTGCAAAGTGAAAGCGCGTCTGTTAGAAAGAAACTAGTGGCAAATTCGGGGGAGCTGGATGTCTGAAACACACAAATACATTTGCCCAGCTTGGACAGAAGAAAGTTTCTGTATGCCTGAGATTTTCACCATTGCAATAGCTCATCTGTCTGTCAGTTGTTTACATGACGCTGATGTATGTCCCATGATCCGCCGACCGCTGTTACGGGAAGCGCCACCTGGTGGCGGCTGGGTGTACTGTAGCTAAATCGGTTATCTGCTGCAGTCAGTGGGGAAAACTGATTAATTAAATCAGATCTTTTGTAAATTTAGGTAAATATCTTGGCGCCTGAGTATGTATCGCGGTCAGAAATAACACTATAAATGGGCATATATTTTGTCCCACCACTAATCCACAACTCTACAAACTAAAACAAAAATCACACAATAATTTCAAGCACTCTTGGGGGCCCCCTGGTGGCCACGGGGCCCTAAGCAGCCGCTTAGTTCGCTTATGCCTTGGGCCGGCTCTGGGTGCAACGTGAGCTGCATCCAGTGCTTTTAATGTCCACAACTAACCCCATCCCCTAACCCTATCATTACGGGGATGTCACTATCTCCACAAAGTGTCTGACATTGCATCTCTGAGATATGCAGTCTCAGTACCCAAATAAAAGTTTGCATCCAGATACTTCTGGCATTTTTACACCTTTTCTTGAGCAAAAATCTTAAGTTAATACTTCAACTTCTACAGGAGTCTTTTTAAACCCTTGTATCTATACTTCTACTCGATTAATGAACGTGAATACTTTTGACACTGGTGCTAAAGACCATATGTGGTCCGCGCAAGTTCCACTGATTTATTTATTGCATTCATATTTGCTTGATTTATCTGTTTCTATCATCAATATCCTCTATTCTTTGTAGTAGCAATAACAGATGGCTCTTCTTCAGTGGGCTCTATGGACTTTATGTGCAAGGTTTCCGCTAGTGCCAGTATAATTGAAACAAAAATATTATTTCAATGTGTTTTCAACAATATTTCAACAATATTTTTTTGTGATTATAATGTTTTTTTTTTTAAACTGGCTTCAGCACATCTGCTTGTGTATTTTATAATGTATGGTTCTGAAAAGCTCGAATAGCTGCTTTAGTATGTTTGATTATAGTTGAGATCTTCTGAATGACAGGCATCCTGGAGCCAGACCCTCTGGCCTTTTTTTAATAAATTATGAAAAATACTCAAAATTTTGGTCTTGCTTAATATAGTTTTCTAAAACAAGACCTATCTTTACTTGAAATAATTATTCGATATTTGGACTAGAGACAAAAAAAAAAAAAAACTAAGTAAGAAAAGCATTTTTTGCAGTGCAGTAATAATAATGCCCAGCAATTAGTCAGCTGCGCTCTTTCATTTTCTGTTATTGAGAAAAACATTTATTTTTACATTTTTATATTACAAAAGATAATGTCTCTATGTCTCTACCTACAAAACAACAATAAATATTTAAAAAACTACCTTTTTTTAATTTGACTTAATAAAAAACATATGTACATAACTGAGTAGGATAAATGGTTTATTCGATAAGAAAAGATGCACATGCACTACGATGGAAACAATTTTACTGAACAAACTTCAGTATGCGCATTAATAAAGGCCATGTGATTTTGTTATAAGAAATCATGTGATAATAATAAAGTGCGTGAATGGACAAATCAGCAGGCTGAGCACATTGTAAAACATATGAAATGTTGTTTTGGTCATTCTAAAATGCCAGAACCATTTAAGTATTAGTATACTGATATAAATATTAGTATACTAGAATAATGACCTCCAGAATCAAGACTGTTTGTGCTACTCGTCTCATGCCTTCAAACGCCACTGCACGTTCACTGCATGTCAGGATTGTCTTTTGAAGCGCAAGTCATTTATTAAATAAAGAAAAGATTCATGCAGCTGCTTCTACTGCAGCAAATTCAAGCAGCAAGTGATGATTTTGTTCGCTTTGACTTGTTAGATGGAAACGCTGCTTTATTCGCACATCTTTTATGCGATAATCAAGTTTTGCCAATATCTGTCTGACTCCCTGTTTAGTGCTTGGTATTCTCTTACCCTCATAGTGAGACTTTACAATCTCTGCTGCAACAGTCAGTCAAGAAATAGTTAGTTACTCTGCTATTTATTGCAGATCAATACTTGTGAGGGTGGTGCCCCGCCCACTTCTGTAATTAAAATTTTTACTTCTTCTTTCATATCCTTATTCCAAGACCACCCAAAAAAAGAAACAGAAGGAAAACACAGCAGCACTCAGGCCATTAAAAAAGAAAAAAAAAACATTAAATACAAAATGTTTGTACAAAAAATCCAGCAACAAAAGCCCCTCCGTAGATGGAACAGATAGTCTTTACTGTTTGATGTAGTTTCTTAGGTGCCCAGTGGGGGCAGCATCACAGAACGCAGTATCCAGGGACTGATCCAGCCATAAGAGAGAGCAAGAGCAACACAGAACACCACTGTCAATAATGATAAACCAAATTTTGGTATAAAGTTACGGTATGATGCACCATAGTTTTATTAAAATGTGGCTGTTGAGCACGCGCCTTGGAAGAAATGCCAATGAGCTTAGGGTGTTAGTTTGCCCTTGCCAATGGAGGCATGCGACTTACACGACACGCACATGGTGTGCAAGCGGTGTGCATGTGATGCGCGTGCATTTTCCAGGCGCACCTAGTTGAAAAACATATTTTCTGAATGCCACGAACGCATCACTAACTAATCTGCTTTACATTTTATATGGAATATACACATTTCACTAATAACAGAAGACTAATTACCTCAGACAAACACAGCACATCCAAACACTGCAGCATTTTTTTTACTTTTCTTCATAAACTTACATTAGAGCTGCAGCAATGGTTTGTCTGTTTGTCATTCACTGAGAAAATGGTTAATGATTGCCTAGTTACCAAGACGACAAGGGAACACGAGCTAAAATGAAAGAGTAATATAATAGGGAACATAGGAGTTTTGTAATATTTCCCAGCCCTAGATTGGATGATCCACAATAGGTGTGTCTGTTCCTCCCTATTTCAAGTTCAGCTCAGTTTCATGTTACACAGACAACATTATGTACAGCAAGAGATTAAATCCTGTTTTATTTTAATTTATTGATAGCACAAAGATGAAAAGGAGCTACTGCATGTTTCTTACTTTTTCACTGCTGATCAACACAAATAGTAAGTTTTTTGATTTTTCCACTACCATGGATTTGGAGCTATGATCAGCTGTCAGTATGTGGATTCAGATTTATAAAGTAATAAACTGAAATGTTTGTGCAAGCTGGTTTCAAACATCATATTGCAAATGTGGTATTTGATGGTAGAGCAGTTGTTACTTTCATTTTTTTCTCAACCAGATATTGTTTGTGGTTTACTGGTCCAAAACTGCATTTTCCCTAAAAACAAGGTTTATAAAACAGTGTTTATAATGTTGATGTTTATATAATGACAGAGCATTATGAAGTTACCATTTAAACAGGTTTTTTTGCCTTGCAAATGTTACACCATATATCTACTGTCACCCTGGTTTAACTTGTGTTATCTAAAACTTACAGTAGCTTATTGATAAAGAAAAAAGTGCAGCATTGGTTAATTAGCTTATTACTTGGTCATATTACCACAGCAACTCTAATATAATTACCACAACAGATTCATTCAAGCTGTATTACTATAAATTACTTGCATTTATTTATGTGGGATGAATATGCTGTAACTAAATCATATTCAGATAAACAAAACACATATTTAAAGAGGTGGTGTGTATTTTTAAGCCTTGGTTGTGTTTATAAAATGCAAAGCAACGTGTGTTGATGCTTCATTTGTTAAAAACATATATATATATATATATATATATATATATATATATATATACACATATTTTTTTTTTCATATATCTTGTTTTGATTATATACAGCTACTCAGCTAAGAAAACAACTGTCATACTTCCATCCTCCGAAAGTCCCGCCCTCAAGAGACTCTGATTGGTCAGCTAACATAATGTGCTGATTCGCAGATTGGCTCCACATCACCAGGAAAAGCGTCACACCTTTAATTTTGCATGCTTTGCCTCTGCTGTGTAGATACTGTCTTTCAGAGTAGCTGTTAGCCATATCAGTTTAAGACTGAAATTTTCAATCTTTCATATATGAAATAAGTATGTGTAAGTAATAAGAAACGTTCACATATCTTTCGCAAGTTTGTTATTTGAGATGTCAAACACAGGAAAAGCGGTTGCATAGAGCGACACCAGTGCTAATTGTGGCTGTTTACAGGGGTTTGACGGATAAATATGAATTTGTAGCTAAATTGTTAACAGTGCCAAACAGCATTTCCCGTTGTTTACATCCTTGTTTACATACTTGCCACAACATACCATTACCGCTAGGAACTGTGCATGTAATGGAGCAATTTTAACAAACAAAAATACTTACATGTTGTGATTCACAATCCACAGCTTCTTCTGTTATGGTTGGAGTTCCCGCAACTTGGAGAGATTCTGGAAGCTATCCTTTGTCAAATGCTAGAGCTGTGTTTTTTATAATTGTCTGGAATTAAATAAAATTAAACTGTAAACACTTTTCTCTGTGTGTCTTGTCCGTTGGAAACCCAAATACAGAAACAGAAGAAGCTCTATAGAAATAGCAGTGTTTGGACAGCATTTAAGGTTTTTCTGCTATAACATTACAGCACCTCTGGCCACGCCCCTTTGCTGCGCGAGGTGTATGCGCATGGTAATTGCGTGTGGTGAATGCACATAACCTGAAAATTTTGTGATCTTACTAGCTTGGATGTATTTTTTTGTAGTCCACAAACTTTGTTCGCTGTAGGATTTGCTAAGCTAACTCTGTAAAAGCCAACATCTCCCTTTACATTGAATTTTGAGCATATTACACTCAGAGATGTTGTTTATGTTCACACAGATACATTACTCATCAACTAAAGTTTAAAATATGACATTGTAGTGGACCACCGCTTTAAAGGTTTGCTAATAGTGAGAATTGAACCTTTAAATAAAGTTTGACTATAAATTCTTTCCAAATAGTTCTATTCAAATTTGATGAAATTTTATAGATTCAGTATGTCCTAATATATATCACAGAAAAATAAAATATCACAATGTTAGATTTTTCCAATATCGTGCAGCCCTAATAGCTGCACAGTAATGTCTTTTGTTTTTTAATCTTTGTTTTTAATGCTGCTTAGATACATTTTTTTGTAAATGCCAAGAGATTCTAAAAGTTTCCACCTATATGCATCACTGGTACTTTTCATACAGACACCTCAGTTTGGAAAGTCTGGAAATGTAGATCATGCATTTCCTACTCATATGACTATGATGTGGCTTTAAGCTGTCATCTGTCACATGAAGCTTGAATGCAGGAACAGATAATTCACTTGTTGACATACCTGTTTTCCATAAGTCATCACCATTTGATCCACCTTTTTGTTCATGTTAGAGCAGGTGCAGGCATTGTAATTAAATGTATTCACTCCCATAGAATTTTACCGAAACAAAACAGCTTGTTAGGCTGATTGCTTTTACAATCTAGTATAACCTTATGATGATTTTTTAATGTGTTGTCATAAACATTTTAGTTTGTAGCACAAGTAATTAGTTAACTGCCATTTCGTCATCTTGGATTTATAAGGTTCTATCTGCGTTCTAAATGATTTTGAGATATTGAGCTTTAATTTTTTGCATGTTTTGCAAACAGTATGCTTGTAACATTTGTTTTTCTTTTTATAAAAAGTCTTTAAATGTATGTAGATTAAGTCAATAACTCAAACTTATGTCAACTTCTGTCAATAACTCATGTTTTGACAAAAATGTCAGATCCTTACAATTCCAAGGTGACAATTTATTATTGCTAGTCATTTACCCTCAGACAGATTAATGCCTAGCACAATCTCTGTAAAAAAGCTTGGTTCTGCATTGCAGAATTTAAAAAAGCCCATGTGATCACACTATTTTATTGTTTGATCTCTTATGTGCAAAACGTCTCCACCTTGTGGTAATGACAGAAATATCAATATTAGAATCAACTAGGTGCTTTGCAAAATTATTTACTGTATTGGGATCTCTGGGAACCCATGATATAGATTTAAAAGATTCAGTCTGTGCCTTTTGTAGCTTAGAGCCTTTAACAAGAACTCTGTAAAAGGTAGTTTATTATATAATGATTTTTCATTGAAGAATCAAAATGAGTGGTACCTTTCCAATGAAGAACTGGAAGATACCCTAATTCAATTTATTTACTTTTTCTGTTTTAAAATTTATTTTTAGTGTCATGCAAACTGATGTCTTTAAACACTTGTTTCCATTTCCATAAGTTGTCTTATTAACCTTACTCATTTTACTTAAAACAACTTATATATGTATATTAACAAGCTGTTTTACTTAAAGAGCCCATATTATACATGAAATAGGGTCATATTTTGGTTGTAAGGGTCTCCAACAACAGTCTAATATGTATGCAAGGTCAAACAACACTTTCATTATCTTGTAATATGCATTTATTTTTACCTAATTATCCCAGCAACTCCCATTTAAATCGTTCAGTGATTCATTTGTTCCCAAACCCCTCCTTAGGGCGAAACTAATCTGCGCTGATTGGACCGATGACAGTCTGTTGCGACTGGGCGACACTGACTGCCCTTAGGGGGAGACAAAGTGAAATGGCCAGCAGCTAATCAACAATATAAAATTAGTCACAGTGAATACATGCTTCATAAGGTAAAAGGAGTGGATTTTGGCTGCCAGTGGCTGAACCTAAATACAGACCTCCACACTCTACCTGCTCTTTTCATACACACACACACACACACACACATTACCCTCCTCCTCGGACGACACCGCACACACACACATACACCCATTACCCTCCTCCATGGAGGTCAGTAAACAAAGCGGCACACGTCGCGTTTTTAACGTGGCTTTACACGTGATATGAGAATATATCGAGTTAACCTGATACAGTATACGCGGTTATAAGTAACAAATCATAACTAAATACATTTGCAAGCTAGAGTAAACGAGGCAGCAACTTTAATCGCACATACCTACACTTGAGAAATAGAGGAAGAAAACCAATCCAGGTTCTGTCATGTCCATCAGTACTCTTTACTGATCTTTCCTTTAACAAACGGCCGATGAAGTATTCTTTGTAGCATGTAGTTTCCAGAAATACTCAAACTGCTCAAGGCTGGGCTATAATGCTGATGTTTCATCTTTGGGTAGAGACTACATTATATCCATCTGCACTATGCGACTTCATTTGACTGGTGTGTGTGTGTGTGTGTCTGGCTTTTTCTGTTTTAGAGGGCGGGGCCGCAGGTTTTAAATCTCCCGGGTTTGCTCGCACAATTACTTGGTTTTGTTATCACATCATGGTGAAACACCTAATGACTCATTATCAAGACGACTCGTTTGAAGCACTATGAGTCGACTCTTTTATAGATGAATCAACAGTTTTAAACACTTTACACTTACAGATTTAAGCATAGCTGGATATTTCACTTCACTTAGAGCTGTGTTACACACTACATGGAAGGGCATTTGCAAAAACCCACAATATGGGCTCTTTAACCAATCATTATTGTCATGAAATTGTTAATCATGTTATCATAAACCTGTAAAACATTGTTTCTGTTTACTAGATGTGTCAGGCGGTGAGACTGAAGTGATGTCAGTGACAGAGGGAGAGACTGTGACGCTACCCACAGAAGTTGAAAATCAGAAAGATCGACTGATCGTATGGTACTTTGGACCAGACAAAATTCTACTTGCTCAAATCAATGGAAAGGCTGGCAGCACCTGGACAAAGGACAGAGACGTGAAGCTGGATAATCACACTGGATCTCTCACCATTCCAAATGTTACAGCAAACCATTCTGGACTTTATAATCTTAAGATTACCACCAGCAACAGGCCTTTATACAAAAAGTTCATTGTTAAGGTCTATGGTGAGTACATATTCAGACATATTCAAAAATACTTCCTAAAACAATGTATTGTACTGTTGCATTATTATTATTGGTCACACTTTATTTTGATGGTCCGTTTGTTAAATTTAAATTTCATTGTATCTACATGCTAACTAATTCTCATTATATTATAAGTAGACTGTTAGGTTGGGGTTTGGGTTAGTGTAAGCTGACATGTACTTGCTATGTTTCTTATAGTCAGTTAAATGTCTGTTAAAGGACCAGTATCAACAGATATTAAGCAGACAGACTACTAATACTCAAATGGACCATAAAAAAAATGTTACCTTATTTTTTAATTTGTTAAATAGTTTGTTTTAAATCCGATGCAAACTCTTTTCTATATTAAGAGGGTGTTTAATTCTGAGCTTGTTAGATTTCTCAAAGCACATTTTAAAAAGAAGTGCAATTTTAGGACATCATTGTTGGACAATGGTTCGGAGGATAATTGTTTCTCATAGGGACTTTGGGTTTTCTCATAATTTACAAGGGGATTTATTTATGTCTGAATCATAATGTCTGTGTTTTTCTCTCATCACGCAAATGAAGATTCACATTACAGGTAGCTTATCAACTCTATATTTGCATTTGTCCTTTGCATTTTCCCTCTTGATACTGCTCAAAGGTGCCAGTTAGAAATCCAGCCCTGCCCTACCAGGACCAACTGGAGACCCAGCAGAGCATCACAATGGACACCCTTCAGCAACAGAGAAAAGAGCGACAAGAGAATGACATGACTAGACTCTTGACACACAGTCTGAGCCACCAGGAGCTGACCATCATCATCATCTCCTTGACCAACAAGAGATAAATGAACTCAAACTGCAAACCACAGATTTCTCATAAGATCAGACCCCTGCTCTGCACTACACAGCTCTGCACTACACAGGAAGCACAGGGACACAGAAATGTGGACCAGCAAAAGGAAACATTCAGTCTTTAGGAGGCTCTGACAGCGGCCAAGCACCAATAGCAGCTTGAAAGAGCCACCAGAGAGAAACTGAAAATTTTCAGGAGCTGTTCCACAAAAAGACGGTCATGGTCTGTCACCTGCATGTTGTCGTCACATTCATTTTTTTTTTCTCGGCGCACATAGCGTTATTTTGACAGCTCGCCATGTGCTCTGCTGTATCACCCCACCCACTTGTCATTCTACTCATTAGATCAGTTCATTCACACCTGTCTGTAGTTTTCCTTCATTTGTCTCCCTTTTTATTCCTCTCATTCTCACTGTCCTGTTCGCGTGTCTTACCTTACGATCCTGTTTTCTTAAATCTTGTCCAGTCCTGTCTAGTCTCACTACTGTTTAGTCTCCAGTGCCAGACTTTAATTGTTGTTTTGGATTTCTTTTTTTTTCTCCTTAGTCAGACCGTCCCTGCGGCAGATCAGCTGTGTTCACCTCTCTGCACTTCCTGCTCCCGTTCCTCATTACCGCCCACCAGCGATCTCCTCTCCAGCCGACTTTCTCTCTACCTGCTCTCTCTCGTTCTCGCTGCCGGCAACGCAGTATTAACCCCTTGCTGACTGACGGCTTGGATTGCCGTGTGCCTCCCCCTGGAACATTTTTTATTGCTTTCACTTTCCTTTTTGTATTGATTATCTATTGACAGCTTTGATTTCCGTGTGCCTCATGTTGGGACAGTTGGTATTACATTTAGTTTTCTTTTGCTTTAACTCTATTTACTTGCACTTTAGACTGCCGTCTGCCCTCTATAGGCCATCCTTGGTTTTTATATTTCTTTATTCTTGCCTGGATTTTTCATCCCTCTGTGGGTTCCCCAGCTCCATGTGCTGGAGGTTTTTTGTTACAGCCCAGAAAGCAAGATTAATAAAACTATCTTTTGACCTGCACCTGAATCCTCTCATTTTCTTCCCTGACACAACAATAAGGTCAGAATGATTCTGCAGGTCTGGACCAGATGCAACTGCGCTTGCCCAGCAGGGTGCACTCCTGGGTCAACTTGCCACCCAGCTCACCACCACCTCCAAAGAGTTGGAGATGCTTACTGCCCAAGTAGTCAAGCTCAACGCACGGATTGAGTCACTCCATCATGAAGCTGCAGGACCCAGGCAGGTTGCTTCACCTATTACCAACAAGTAATACTAACAATCCACCTCCGTATGATGGAGATCTCAGTTCCTGTCAGGCCTTTTTATCGCAGTGTGCTCTTATTTTTGCCTTGCAACCCCGCCGTTATGCCACAGAGGCCTCCAGGGTGGCATAAGTCTTGACCCTGCTCACTGGGAGCGCACGTGAGTGGGGCACTGCAGTCTGGGATGCCAGGGCACCTTTCTGCCGCTTTTTTGATGATTTTAGAGACGAGATAATTAAGCTCTTTGACCGGTCGGCACAGGGAGATGAGGCGGCTGCCCAGTTGGGCCGCTCTGTCACCGACTATTCAATTGTTTTCAATACATTAGCTGCCACCTGCGACTGGAATGATGGGGCCCTCCGATCCAGATTTTTTGAGGGTCTGAATGAGGAGATCCAGGATGAAATCGCCTCTCATGAGCTTCCTCGTCACCTGGAGACTCTTGTTGACTTGGCTCTACGTGTGGAGGAGCGCCTTTGCCGCCGCCACCAGTGGCGTTCTGTCCATTCTTTCTGGAGGGCTGATGACAACTTCCTCCAACAAGCCTCCTCTACTTTCCCCTCTTCCGATCCTAAGCCTATGCAGATGGGACAAATGCGCCACACGCCTCAGGAGAAGAGGGACCGTCTAGCACGTGGTGTGTGTCTCTACTGTGGCAAACCGGGGCACTTTGCCATCAAGTGCCCTTTAAAAGCTACGGCCCATTAGTAAACCGGGGGATGCTGGTGGGCGGCTCTTCCTGTCTGAATTCCTCTCTGTATCGCACCCTGTTGCCTGTCACCATACAACATGAGGAATCCCTCAACTCCTGCTCTGCCTTGCTCGATTCGGGGGCCAAAGGCAATTTCCTGGACTGTTCCACTGCCAAGCAGTGGGGTATTTCCGCCATCCCCCTCCTATTTCTGTCTGGTCGTTAGCGGGTCAGCTCATCTCTACCATTACCCACAACACCCTTCGTGTAAGTCTTGTTGTTTCCAGCAATCACCGTGAGGCCATTAAACTGTACCTTCTTGATTCACCAGGTTCCCCTATTGTCTTGGGGCATCCCTGGACGGTATGGCACAATCCTCACATTGATTGGTCCGGAAATTCTGTGTTGGCCTGGAGTCAGTTTTGTCTTGCTTCTTGTTTGGGTTCTGCCTTGTCTCCTGGTGCTTTGTGTTCTGTGTTGCAGAAGGAGACTGCTGATGTAACTAAGGTCCCGGTTGAGTACCATGGTCTTCGTCAGGTCTTTAGCAGGTCTCGGGCTGGATCTCTTCCTCCTCATCGACCATACGATTGTGCCATTAACCTCCTCCCAGGCACTTCTCCGCCCAAGGGTCGCTTATATTCCCTTTCAGGTCCTGAAAGAGAGGCTATGGACAGGTATATTCAGGAATCACTTAGTACTGGTCTCATTCGTCCCTCATCATTTATTTTGGGTGCAGGGTTTTTCTTTGTAAAGAAAAAGGATGGCTCCCTGGGTCTATGTATAGAGTACAGAGGGCTGAACAACATCACAATTAAAAACAGGTACCCCTTACCTCTTATGTCATCTGCCTTTGAGTTGTTGCAGGGAGTCCAGGTCTTTACAAAATAAGACCTCCGTAATGCTTACCACTTGGTGCGCATCCGGGAGGGAGATGAGTGGAAGACAGCCTTTAATACCCCTACGGGACACTTTGAATATCTTGTCTTACCTTTTGGTCTGACCAATGCCCCGGCTGTCTTCCAGGCCCAGGTCAATGACGTGCTGAGAGACATGGTAAACAAGTTTGTCTTTGTGTACCTGGATGATATTCTCATTTTCCCATCCTCTTTACAGGCACACACTAATCATGTACGGCAGGTCCTCCAACAACTATTAGAGAACCAACTCTTTGTTAAGGCGGAGAAGTGCGAGGTCCACGCGAAGTCGGTTACATTTCTGGGGTATGTCATCTTGGCTGAGGGAACAAAACCTTATACTGCCAAGGTAAGGGCCATTGCCAAGTGGCCAGTCCCCAAAACCCGCAAGGCTCTGCAGCGTTTCCTGGGTTTTGCCAATTTCTATAGACGCTTCATCAGGAACTTTAGTCAGATTGCTGCACCCTTAACGGCTCTCACCTCCACTAAAGTAATGTTCAGGTGGAATACACAGGCTCAGGAGGCCTTTGATGCTCTTAAGTCCCGTTTCATCACTGCTCCTGTCCTTTCTATTCCAGATCCTGAACAACAATTCATTGTCGAGGTAGATGCTTCTAATGTTGGGGTAGGCACGGTCCTATCTCAGCGGTCCCCCAAGAATGGGAAGGTGTATCCTTGTGCTTTTTCTCTCATCGCCTGAGCCCAGCAGAACGTGATTACGACATAGGTAATAGGGAGCTGTTGGCAGTCAAGCTCGCTTTGTGTGAGTGGCGTCACTGGCTGGAGGGAGCAGTGCATCCCTTTTTGGTCTGGACGGACCATAAGAACCTTGAATATATCCATTCTGCCAAGAGGTTGAGCACATGCCAGGCCCGCTGGGCACTCTTCTTTGGCCGATTCAACTTCAGTCTCTCGTACTGGCCAGGGTTCAAAAATACTAAACCTGATGCCCTCTTTCGGCTGTTCAAGGTCCCCAGTGGGGAGTCCCCAATTGGACCCATCCTCCCTGAGGGAGTGGTGGTTGGGTCTCTCTCCTGGGGCATCGAGCAGCAGGTAATTAAGGCCAGTCGAGGGATTGAGGTGCCAGAAGGGTGTCCGGAGGGTCGGCTGTCTGTGCAAGTTGCGCTGCGTTCCGAGGTCCTCTGGTGGGGGCATGCATCCAGGCTGGTTTTTCATCCAGGAATTTGGAGGTCACTGGCTGCCATCCGCCAGAGGTTTTGGTGGCCCTCTCTGAGGCAGGACGTCAGGCAGTTTGTCTTGGCTTGCTCGGTTTGTCCCCAGAACAAGACCTCTAACCGAGCGCCTGTTGGTCTACTCAAGCCCTTGCCCATTCTCTCTCATTCATCGTCACACCTGGCCCTTGACTTTGTTTCTGGCCTTCCCCCCTCTAGCGGAAACATCATGACTGTAGTGGACCGTTTTACTAAAGCAGCTCACTTTATTCCATTGCCCAAACTTCCCTGCCGGTGGCATCTACAGGTATGTCCCCATTTCTCTGTTCCATGGGTTATCAATCTCCTTTGTTTCCCTCACAAGAACCTGACGCTGCAGTTCCGTCTGCCTTGGCCTTTGTCCAACGGTGCCGTCGTACCTGGATGAGGGCTAAGGAGGTCTTGGCTTTGACTTCTAGACGGACCAAAGCAGCACCCGACCGTCATCGGACCTCCCCACCTGAATATGAGTGTGGTCAGAAGGTATGGTTATCCACCAAGCACCTGCCTCTTAGGGTAGCCTCACGTAAATTGGCTCCCAGGTTCATTGGCCCATACCTCATCACCAAGGTCTTGAGTCCGTTGGCAGTTCTGCTCAAGTTGCCTCCCACTCTTGGTCGGGTACACCCTTTTTTTCATGTATTCAGGGTCAAACCTGTGTTTAGATCTATTCTTGACCCTGTTGTCTCTTTCCCTGCCCCTCCCCCCCTCGCCTAGTGGATGGCTCTCCTGCATACAGTGTCAGGAAACTGCTGGATGCCAGATGCCGGGGCCGGGGTTTTCAGTACCTAGTGGACTGGGAGGGTTATGGTCCTGAGGAGAGGAGTTGGATTCCAGCTCAGCATGTTCTGGAACGGGCATTGATTATGGACTTTCACCGGCAATGGGGTAAGCCCCTCCCCTGAGGCGTCAGGTGGCGCTCCTAGGGGTGGGGGTACTGTCATGGTCTGTCACCTGCATGTTGTCGTCACGTTCATTTGTTTTGTTTACTCTGCGCACATGGCTTTATTTTGACAGCTCGCCATGTGCTCTGCTGTCTCACCCCACCCACTTGTCATTCTACTCATTAGATCATTAGTTCATTCACACCTGTCTGTAGTTTCCCTTCATTAGTCTCCCTATTCATTCCTCTCGTTCTCACTTTCATGTACCTTATCGTTCGTGTGTCTTACCTTACGATCCTGTTTTCTTAAATCTTGTCCAGTTCTGTCTCGTCTCGCTACTGTTTAACTCCAGTGCCAGACTTTAATTGTTGTTTTGGATTTTCACTTTTCTTTCTCCTTTAGTCAGACCGTCCCTGCAGCAGATCACTTAATAACTGTGGCCGCGCGCGCTCTTGTACTCGTGTATGTGTTCGTCTGTCTGCAGCGTGGTGTTTCATTCCCAGCGTCTCAATCTAGTTGGTTTTGGTTTTGGTCGGAGCTGGGATGAAAAATGCACGCTGCGTGTGTGAGTGCACAGTGAGTGCTTTCATTTATCGTGTACTCGTGTCTTTCGTTCAGTTTTCTGTTGGTGTTATGTCTAGCACGTGGTGCGTATTTACATGCACCATGTGCTTGTGTTGTCATGAACACGCAGTTAATGAGTTCTGTCATTGGATGATTGTTCTAGTCGTTTTATGTGAGCGCATGGCTTGTGTTGTCTCTGTGTCATGCGCTCTCCCGTCTATTGTCTAGTCCCACCCCACTTGTTAACTCATTATTAATTTGTTATGTTCACCTGTTTGTGTCAATTTACTTTTGCTTTATAATCCCCTCATGTTTTCTGTCCTGTGCCAGTTCGTCGTCTAAACTCCCCATGTGTTCCTGCTCTTGCTCTTGTCGTGCCAACCCAGCCAAGTTTGTTAGTCTGTTAGTGTTATAGTTATGTTTTTCCCCCTCGGGGTGGTTTTTGTACTTCTTTTGTTTTATTTTTATTATCAATAAATCATCCTGTGTTTGCACTTGAGTCCTCGCTCCCTCATCCTTCCTGAACCGTGACAGCAGCATAACAAGCTGAGTCAATGGAAGTGTACAGGACCAGAAATCAATGGAAGATATATTTAAATAGGCCACTGTAGAATAAAACCATTTTAATGTATCCTATATTTTGTGTTTTGGAGATTTCCATCTGAAACACTCCATAGTGAAGTACGGATAGAATTTATGCTCCGGCATTCATACACATGCTTACCTTTTTTTTAAGTACAAAGTAAACAGTAAGCATTTTTGGAACAACAGTTTTGCAAGGGAATGGAAACTATCTTTGTAAGGGAACACAAAAAACTTTATAAAATGTATTATTCTTCCACCCAGTTTTTTTTTCTTCCACCCATTTTTTTAAAGAGGGGTCTGGATGCAGACTTAGTGCAATTGCAAGTTGAACTGCACACACCTTAATGCTTACACCTAGCCCCACTCCAAACTCTACCCCTCACAGTGACTATCTCTATTGAGTGCATTGTGTTTGACATTACAAGTCTGAGACATGCAGTCTTGGCTTGCAAATGCACTCAGATACTATAGATTTTTTCCCTTTCCAGGTCTTCTTATATCTCCACACATAAGCAGAACGAAAATTCAGTCAATAACTTAAACAAGTTTTATTAGACTTTTAAGAGTGAGACACTGCAGGACTCCATTTTGTTTCCCGATCTAAAAATGTTTTCTTCTTTATTTCCAGCTCAACTTTTCAATCCAGAAATCACCTGTGAGATTTCAAAAAAAAATTCTGAAGGTTCATCAGTTTCTCGCTGTAATCTCCTATGTTCAGTGGTACATGTGAGAGATGTAAGTCTCTCCTGGTACAAAGAAAACAGTTTAATCTCCAGCATCAGTGTGTCTGATCTCAGCAACAGTCTCTCTCTGGAGGTGGACTATGAGGATAAAAACGCCTACAGCTGCGTGATTAACAACACCATCAGCAACAAGACTAAACAGTTTAACACTGATGAACACTGTCCGATATGTAAAGGTATGTGAGGGAGTTTATGCACTGAACTAATCTCTCAGCCATGAATTTAATAAAGTGGCTTTGAAATACAGTAACTGATAAGATGTACAGCATGTTTTTATATTGTAAGTTTTACGGTTTGCCTACAATAAAGTATTTATACCTATGGTACTTTATTGAATTTGTTAGTAGTTTTACTTTTTCTTTGTCTTTTCAGTTTCTTGCTTTAGATGGATATATCTTTTAATGCTGCCTTTTGTAGCATTTATTTGCATAATTTCCTCTGTTGTGATATGCTTCTGTAAAAACAAAGCCGGATTTCAAAAAGGCAAGTCTTATATGGCAAACACATACATTTTTTTCCTCAAAGTACTAATATATTTTAATGAACTGAAAATAAAACATCATGTGTCTTTCTGCTTTTCAGTAAACCTGGAAGCTGGGCATGCAGAAAAAAAATCTGCTCTGACCACCACGGATCAAGTTTGAAAAGGATTTAAGTTTTAAGAAATAAAGATTTAAGTTTTTATTTCTCTTTTGATTTCTATTATCTCTTGCATCTTAATATACTCATGATCAACATCTTAAGACCAGGGAAAAAGTACAAATATTCACGTTTTACACAAGTAAGTGCTTAAAAAAGGAAGACACCAGAGCAAGTTACAAAAAAGAGAGAGCAGACAATGTATTGAAGACTGAATTTAACTTGCACAGCTTCAAATTTAAAATGGCTGTCTCACTGCATACTATCGATACAATATTATTAAAGGGATCTCTGAGGTCTACTTGGTGTTATTAAGCTGTTAAATAAATACAAAACTATATAACTTGTATAATATACTTAAAATAACACCATCTAAAGATTAATGCTGTTAATATGCAATGTTTTATGCTGCGTTTTTTCCCTCTATTTGGAAAACACATTTGTAGGCAGGCAAGATTCAGAACCAGAGCCTACAAAGTTACAATATTGGCATACTTGCTAGTGGCCAGCTCTGAGAAAATTTACTAGCAACATTTTTTTTCTATAGTTTTAAATATGCAATTAAAAAACTATAATAGCATTATTATTATTATTATTATTATTATTATTATTATTATTATTATTATTATTATTATCATTATTATTATTATTATTATTATTATTATTATTATTGTCTATGCATTTGGCAGAAGCTAAAATATATATCCATTAACCTAAAATTTTACAGCATTACACAGATGTGAACTTTATTATAGTGTTAATAGTTTTTAACCACTGAATTTACTTAATTATAATCTCTTAAATATAATTTTGTTGCCTGCTATAGACAGAAACTATTAAATTAACTGTAATAATTAGATTTAACTCAAAAAATATAATGAATTCATTCATAACTCATTTGGTTTGAGTTCTGCTTAATACAATCAGTTTATGAGTTACCATAACTGTTTTTCATTAAGTCAAAGTAACTTATTTCATTTAGTGACTTTCACTGTTAGGTTTTACAATATATAACTGTCAGTATTAATGTTGTTGCATTGTATTATTATTTTTTAATTCAGCTTCAAATCCATATTCATGTAATATTGACACAAAAGAAGTAAATTGGTCTTGTTAATTTTAATCAGAAATGACTAAAACTACAACACTGACTTATCAGGTGTCAGTTAGGGTCATGTGTCTTATCAGGATGGAGTTTTGCATTTGTGTTTGACCCTGTGTGCATCTTTGCTATATAAGTTTTTACCTCAACTTATAGGATATTACTGTACTTGTGGTGAGTTTTAATTCAATTTGTAACATTCACTTTTACACATTTACTATTATTATATTAATATAGTAGTTGTCAGCCTGACGGATGAACAAATAAAATTTAAACCTTATGAATAAATAGTATATCTCGTAAGATACTGCATGATCCAAATATAGTTTTATTTAATATTTTTTTTTAAGTTTTCATTACATTTTGGGCATGAAATCCACGCTAAATCCACCCTTCAGGGCCCAGTTTTTCAAAAGTAATCCACTAGGATTTTGGATAAGGGATTGGATCAAATCTTGAAAATGGGTTTTTCAAAAGGAAAAACGGATTACATAATCGGATTAGATCACGTAATCCAATCTTGATTTTGATCCGGATCAAACCTTTAGTTTGGGTTTTTCAGACCTTTTTTGTAGGATCTGGATCACTTTGATCCAAAAAACCTGGATTAAACTGATCCCATCAGAAGGGTGGATTTAGCGTGGATTTCATGCCCAAAGTGTAATAAAAACTTTAAAAAAATATTAAGTAATATTATTTTTGGATCATGCAGTATCTTACGAGATATACTATTTATTCATAAGGTTTAAATTTTATTTGTTCATCCGTCAGGCTATAGTGAGTATAGCCTTTAACGTATTCAGCCTTTCAGTACAGGCCTACAGCAAAGTAGAAAGAGTTTGGCCTCATAAAATAATCCCCCAAACAGCTGTCAAAACTGACCAAAAACAATCAATTTTATTCTTTCACTAATTGATAAATATATTCATCACAATGGAAAATATTTTTCTTTTTAGAATATTTATTAGTGATGCATGCAATGATTACAGAATTCTAAAAAATGCAAAGAATGGCAATCACTGATTTTTGAAATATCTTTCAACAATTGCAAAAAGAAACTGAAAGAGCAGAAGCACAGCTTCGTCTGGCAGAGAAACAACTGACTCTAACCAAACTGCAGCAAATCAAGGCCAATGACTTGAGATCCGCCTCCTAAAGGCTACGCTCAGACAAGCTGGTCTCTCCACATCAGATGAGGAAGTCTGAAATTATTGTGGAGTTTTTGACATTAACTTTTTTTATTTACATCTATATTTGAAACTTATTATAAATATCCTCAATGTACAGTGTTTCAGGTCTCAAATGAGCGGACTGCTTAAAGAGGATGGGGTGTTGTTTTTCTTGTTTTTCTTATTATTTATTATTATTATTATTTTAATAATTATCAAATTTTCTTAGTTTTCATTTTAAATAAAAATAAAGTTATATTGACCCCACGCTGGCTATTCTACTCTTTACATATCTATAGTTCTACATTGTGATGTCCTATCCTGTTTGAGCACTGGTTATCCAGATTTAGTGATCCTGAAAAGTTCCTATCCAGATCAGATTGATCCAATCCGATGTTGCTTTGAAAAACTGGCTCAAAAAGTAAGCTGGATTACGTGATCACAGATCGCAAAAACAGGATTACTAAATCCGGATCAATTTTATCCAGATTAAACCTTTTGAAAAACCGGGCCCTGATGGGATCAGTTTAATCCAGGTTTTTTGGATCAAAGTGATCCAAATCCTACAAAAAAGGTCTGAAAAACCCAAACTAAAGGTTTGATCCTGATCTAAACCAAGATTGAATTAAGTGATCTAATCTGATTATGTAATCTGTTTTTTCTTTTGAAAAACCCATTTTCAAGATTTGATCCAATCCCTTATCCAAAATCCTAGTGAATTACTTTTGAAAAACCGGGCCCAGGAGCCTAACCACTTAAACTCTGCGGTCCGTGACGTCATCGACTTTCGCTTTCAGATTTAAAGGGCTAGCGTTCCACCAGACGTGTAGAATCTATATTTTATGCACATATGCATCACTTTTTTTATTCTACTTTATAAAAGTTATTTACACTTTAATACACAGTATTTTGGATACCCAAGCTAGGTATTTTACATTGGTTCATTTTCTTATTTTTTTATATGACACATGTACAAGTTATAGCTCAAATGAAAGCTCTTGCCAGTGCTCATACAGTTCTAGCATTCTTTTTACTGAATTATATTCATATGCCAAACAGTTGTTGAATGAATTGTGATGTTTCCATGGCGCAGAAATGTAAACAATACATTCATGATCAATAAGCAGCCCCAGATAGCACAGACAGCTGTCATCTCTTACCTTATGCTGTGCCCTTCAGGGCCATTCTCCTCTGTTTTTGAGGTGATGTGCATAAGTAATCCTTTTATATGTCTGATGTGGTCCAAACACAGTGAATTATGTTTGATCAAACAAAAGAATAGTGAAATATGCAACAAGGATCGGTCCCTGTGGCTTGTACAGCACCTCTCATCAGTTGGAATGCAATAACTTTTGCATAGATTATGGTAGAGACATTTTTCTTTTTTTCCTATGATTACAGACATGTGCAGGAACCACCAAAATTAATTACAGCACGCTAGACCACACAGAATCTAAAAGGTACACTTTCAAATTTGAGTTTATAAAAAAAATATACAAAAAGCGCCTCTTTTTTAGGTGTATATTATAACACAGATGACATATACAGTTATTTTAAACACTTTCAATAGTGTTTTATGAAAATTCAAAGGGTTTTATTTAAAATGATACCAAATTTTTGCATTTACACCTTTATGTGGATTTGGGAAGCTTTTAAATTTGGGTAGGCAAAATCCAGGCGGAAATCCCCAAATAGCAGCAGAGTTTAAGTGGCTAAGAAAAAAATGCTCATTTTGGAAAAGAATTTCAGATGGTACATGGAGGTTTTTGCATCTGAACTTTTCACTTTACACATCACAACACTTTTTAAGTGTGTGTCATTTGTAACAATGTATATAACAGTGTAAAAATAATTGCCTGTTTTGTCAAAGTTTTTACATTTTTAAAAAATATTTTTACAAAAACATTCTGACGACCACAGCTGCGTTTGATTTGCAGTAAATCCAGCCAAAGTAGATTTTTCATCTGCCGGTCCCAAGCCCGGGTAAATGGAGAGGGTTGGGAAAAGTAATAGTGAGCTTCCCCGTAAAAAAATTTTAGTAGACGCATTTGAAAATATAATATTATAGATAAAAGAGACACATAAATAAATCAACTGCACTCAAATGGGGAATTTTTATGAGCTTAGGTAAATACCAATATATAAAAGATGTATGCACTGATTCAAACACACATTTTACAAATGTGACACTAAAATTATGCAATAAATGTTGAAATTTAACAAAATGAGATATAAATAAAACCCAAATGTACATAGCTGACAACAAACACCAATAAGAAGCATGATTATTTGATCACAATAGTTAAATATCATAATAATAAAAATTGTCAAGTGTTACACATGGGAATTGCTACCTGATTTTTGGCTTTTTCATATGAGAATGTATAATTTTGTTTTTAGAAAAAGTACTTAAACATAACCATCATGGGTAAAAGCTCAACTTTTGTCCTGCAGAGTAATGTGCTGGCCACTCTTTTGTTGTTATTATATGTATAAAACTATGTTTTATTACATTGTAAAAAAAATCATATGCTCTACAAACTACTGTGCAGATTTAACACTATTAATCTAGGCACTTTCATTATTATTCTAGAGGGATATATGGTACAGTTAAGATGTTACCTTGATGATATGTTAAACATAAATTATGACAAAAACTATTCTGCATACATAGTTAAAGCAGTAGCTTACTCTGTAAATTCAAGATCAATAATTTGTGTAATATACAGGTAATGGCATTTGGTTTTCTATTATTAAGGTATGTTTGTTGTGTGCATCTG